ACATTTTGCAGCACCACATCACTTCGTAATATGACACAGGTCTAACTGATTTTAATAACTTGTAACCACTATATCTCAATTAAATCGTGTTCCGCCTTATGATAAACTGCATACTTGCAACTAACTTGTATGTCCAATCAGCCGGCAAGTATAAATACAAGTAAATAGTCTGCCACAGATCAGAACATTGAGTCTAGAGCATGTCTCTTACGAATACGCTCATGTTTAACGATTTGTTCCTAGCTATCTGTCCAAAATTCATATAATCATCACTCACGTATTTAAATTTTATTTTGGTAACCATTCATGTGTATTAGTAGTATTACCAAATTCTATCACGGTCAAGTAAAAATGAGGTTGAGAAAATCTCCCCGTAACTAAATAAACCGTATCAAACTAACTGGAACACTAGTTGGAATTCTTTACCATGGTAATACTTTTGTTCCTTCAGTTAGCCTACTGATACAGATGCAATTGGAAATCAACTCTTATGGACAACTTACCGGCATAATCGTTATCTGATTTCATAATTTAAACCAAAACTAATACCAATATTAACATTTCTACAATATTCATTATTTTAATATTTCTAAACACAAAATAATTACTGCCTATAAGTTAATTTATTAACACGCATCGTTTTTTTTTTATTATTATTATTGTAATCCCATTTTTTTATAGCTCAAATAATCTTCACCCAAATTGTCATTTCAAGCGTTTTAAGCATGAAGGCAGATATTTTAAAATTATCACATGTATTTCCCGACCAGATGCTGCCGCCTTCTTTTTGATTTATCTTTCAGCTTACCAATACCCGGAGGATTCTTATTATCCTTGGAAACCTCCGGCGCGCGACGATCCCATCCAATTTGGTATCGAACCAACATCACGTTGATTCTGGTGGGAGAGTAGTGTAGTGGCATTGGACAATAGCCACACAATCCACAAAGCTGTGAACACGAGACTACTCAGAAAATAGATATTCAATATTTAACGCGGAGAAATACCTAACAATGAAGAAGGCGCGGAGAAGGAATTGAATGGACTGGAGTTGATCGAGTGGCATGGCTCGGCCATGCAGGCGTGGTCCCTGCTGGATATTGTCCTATATCTCTATTCATATTAAATATATTGTTCTTTCTCCAGTCTAACCTTCTTCCTCATCATGTATTGGTATTTGATACGATACAGTGAGTTGGTGTAGTCGATGGTGTGACTTCCACGTAAGATCTTATAGATTAGGCAGTTATATCATGACAAATCGACAAGTTTAGGATTAGGTCTATTATTAGAGCAGTACTAATATCGTAGTAGACCATAATCCTACATATCTATGGAAAAGTCGACAATGATTGAGTGGTAGATTATTTAGTGTGTATGCTAAGGCACTGAAACATAAGGCAAAAACTAGGTAATAAAAGTAACTGATGTATTTCGGTGATAATTAGGATTATTTGAACTATAGTACAAACTAGGAATCCCAGAAATAACACAATTTAATCAAGAAATGCTAGATAAGCACGAACGAGCATATTATATTTGGAGTTCGAAATCAAACAGTCATCAATTACAAAGGAATCATTAGATCATACAAACACCACATCCGCCATAGCTTAAATTGAAGTCTAATTTTCTGTACCCGATTGTACGTCCTCTCCTTAATTTAATCCTATGCCTGTCCGACATTGTATTGAATATGGACTTCACTATCCAGAATGTGGTCATTAGTATTAGAATTAATAATTGAAATTGGAACGAACTGACCTGGGTCTTGGAATTTTAAACAAGCGCCATGTCGGTTGTGTATTGAAACCACTGATATCTAAAATTTACATCATCGACTTTTCAACACTATCCTACCCCATGAAATAATGTTGGGTCCTTACGTCGCGATTTTATGGCCAGTTTGGCGTTCCCTATTTGCACTATGTTATTATATCTCACACTTCGATTACTACATTTGAGTAATTAGGGATACACACTGACATATAATTTGAGGCATTCCATCTTGTGAAGTTGACTTTCAGGAAAATACGATATATATCCCTTTTGCTTTTCATATTAGAATACGCTGATAAATATGCATTGATACGTACGATTAACACATGTGATTCGTCTAGGTTTCATTCATCTGCAAAACAATCAAATGGAAAATATGCATCTGCCTCATACCCATTAAGATAGTCTTCGATTTGATTTAGATTTTCTGCTTGTGCAAACTCCATATCTGGGGAAACTAGTTCTCTGACTACTTCGGGAAAACTTGCTATTTCCTCTGATTCATCATACCACTGACTAGGGATTCTACTCAACATTCATTGGTTGTGAGAATATTCAACATCTGATACAGGAATGTGACTAGATTTCGGCTCATTCGGATCACATTTGTCACATTCATTAGAGATATCACTATAGATAAATCCATTGTGAAGACAGATGACATTTGATATCACATCAGAATCTGATTTTTCTGGATGACCTTCCTCAAATTTATTGAAAATAGGGGATCACTATAAAATTCAGCATCTATCAAAATAGCATCAGGTTTTCGATCATGATTAGATTCATTCAACATATTTTGCTCAGATTTGTGAGAAGTTCAATCAGAAATATGTGAATCATTAAGGCAAACCATATCTGGTACAATAATTTGATAAATCTGATAAGAAGTTGATAGATTAAAAACTTTTTGTCTCACAAAGGTCCTGAGTTCCATTCAACTCTGGACTGATATGTGACTTTATACCGATTTTCAAAGTCATGGATGAAGATATGTGATCATTACAAACACTCAACTTAGCAAAATTGCAGCAAAATGAACCGTAGTTTTACAAACTGACTGAATGTGTTCAGTCTCACCACATTTAAAGCATTTAAAATTAAAAAATACACACGAATTGCATGAATGGATCTTGCCATAGAACAAGCAGTTATCAAACTTATGCTCGTCTTCGTGACCTGATTTGCAACTTCTCATTCATTTGTTATCTGAATTACGTTGATTGGGTATTGGACTGGAACAAAGCAGTAAAATAGTGGAATTCATAATGTTCTGACGAATCATTTTATGAAAATTTTCCCCCGAAGATGTTACAGGTATTCGGAGTTTGACAACGCCTTGATCAGTAACACGTATTATGAAGCGTACTCATTAAGTGAAATCAAAAGATATATTTGATAGGCTACCAATATATCGAGAATCGTCTGATCTAATCTGGCTAGCGATTGCAGGGGTTTTTGAGCACGGCGTTCCCACTCGTGATCTGGTGCGGATGCATGACCAAGCGCCTTCAGCTAGGTGAGTCCATCAAAACTGATGTGGTGAGCATCCAATGTCAAAAACTTACAGAGCTATTTATTTTGGGGATTTGTTTACCGCTATACCCCTTTACCGCAGTCCGAACTTGTATAATTTACATAGTCTAGCAGTAGTTCCTTGGAGATGCGTAGGGGAGTGAAATTGGCTTGTTTGGAAATGTCAAAGTCTTTATTAAGCTATATGCTTCTTTCTCGATGAATGTAAAGGAATGAGCTACAATTTTAGCATCGTCAACATCTTCTATAACGGCCGAACAGCCAATATTCGGTCGGAACAACGGACTGACGAACCCAAAATTTATTCGATTAGACCGGACCAAGTTCCTCTGTATAGCTGACAACGCGTTTTTGAGATACTCGTATTATATTATACCAAAACACAAATTCTGTGCTCAATATAAACGGTTCTAATTAAGAAAACAGAACAAATTACATCAAAAATACAAAATACCTCCAACGGTACAGCCTGTGATATACAGTCAGAAGTTTCTCTAACGCAATGAAAGAGACAGTTAATACTAAAGGGTTTGATACCTGAGAATCAATACAAATATTTCCAAAAAGATGGGATCAAATATCTATCTGCAGGGATTGCAGCAATTCTCCCAAGCAGACAGTCAGAAGGTTAACAGTCACAAACTGAACCACGCCGTGACCTTGAGCTTAGTCAAACACAACCTTGCTGTCAATGGTCCGGCAACATGCAATAGAAAATTAGGTAAAAAAAATAAGTCTTTAATCAAAAGCACAAATTAAAGGCTCAAACGGGGAAGACTGAAGAACAAAAGACATGGTTAAACGAGATCAAAACAAAGGTTGGAATACACAAAAGGGAGAAGGAACAAATAAATGAAAATACTGTTCAACAAAGAAGCTGCAGAGGGATTTTCACTGTTCTCTTTCCGTTACATCTTATTTGGTCATAGCCCATATTTCTAACCTTTTCATGTAATCCTCAAAAGCATCAGAGTCTGCATGTATGTCCAACTGTTCCATCACAGGCTGCATCGCGGCGCCAGTGTAATAGTTAGTAGTACTTGAATTTTAATGCGAACGAGGAATCCCAGAAATAGAACAGGTTATTCATGTGTTATATTTGGGATTCGAAATCAAGCAGTCATCAATTACAAAGGAATTATTAGGTCATATACACGCCACAATTTCACGGATGGTTGTGTGGAGATTTGATGTGAGTGATTGACCTAGCATCTTCAGCTTTTGGTACCTATTAAAACTGATGAGGTCAGCATCCACATAGATTGTTTTACAACTTTATTTTGGGAAGTTACTGACCGCTACAAAACTAAAGCTTCCCAGTTCTTATTCATATGGAATATCAGTGGGCGTCACCGCATGTATGAATCATATGAAATAAACACATAAATTAGACAGGCGTAGTGGTAAACAAACCGCAAAAGCAAACATTTATGTAAGTCTTCTACATTGGTGAGAGCCTCACTGACCTCATTAACCTCATTATCGTCATCATCTTTACAAGAAAAAGTTAATCGTGGTTGCGGTGAAAATCTACTAGTCTGTGGTAAGAATGTAAAATGTCCCCTTAAACTGGCCATTCAACTTGGGGTAAAAATACATGAATATAAAAATGAAATAAAAGGAAGATACTTATGCAGACAAGAACTGAAAGAAAAAGATAATAACCTGTCCATCACTATGACTCTCGCAGCTTGGTGGATTGGTAATGTTTGCCTAGAACAGTCAAAACTCTGGGACTTGCCGTCAACATTGAGAATCAGTCATTCAGAAATCAGCTGGCTGATACCACGTTGCAAACATTTAAAACATTGGGCGTTAAATTGCTGCGGTTGATTTAGACGTGACGGTGCACGGGCTGTGTAGATTCGTGTTGTCAGTTCAAATCCTTATGACATTACTTCTAGTCGTTATTACCCGATTGTCTTAGTCTCACTATTTACTCTGTTGCTAGTTACTGTAGATATACTTCATTTGATGTAGGTGCATCTTATGTCTTTATTTAGTCGTCGTCTCATTATCTTGTTCTCATCCAGTTTCCCGTGCACACGCAGCTCTATACTCTCCCGTGGAAGTATGTTATAATAGCTACACTTTTAAATACTGCCGGTTGTGCTTTAGATACTGATAATTCTGTTCTGGGAAGTTGTTCGCGATTGCTTTGTAACTAGCGCAAACGCTCGAATAAACTGTATACAGTCGTAATGACCTGCGTGGTTAGTTCTGAATGATTATCTGTTTGCTTATCTTGTGCTTTCATTTGTTACCGCTCTCAATTTTCAGGCCAAGTTTTACGACGATGTGATTGAGGATGTTATAAGTGGTGTTAAAGATGAGTTTGTAGAGGATGGTGGTGATATCCAGATACTTGAAGAACTCAAAAAGGTTTTACATGTTTCACGGCTCACTATTATTTAGTTATGGAAGTCCAAACTTGCTGAGACCCACGTCTTTAGCCCAGAGCCTGTCGGCGGAAGTGCTGCACAATATTTGAACCTTCTGCAACGTTCTCAAGTTCAGGTAATAAAAATGTTTAATTTGCGTAAAATATGGTAACTTTGACAGCTGTATTGGGTGACCATGGTACTATATGTATTCATATATATATATATATATATATATATATATATATATATATATATATATATATATATATATATATGGCTATTATATTAGGTTCCAAGTTTTTAAATGCTTATTCTTGATGTGACTTTGTCATAAAAATACTTGTCTGTAACTAATTATGCACCCCATTTACATCATGTAACGTCGCGAGTTGTGTCATAATACTGAGAATGGAATAGTTGTGCAAGATCGATTTGTGGTCCTTCAAGGTGCACCAATTTTTAACTTCGACCTTGACATTCTCAACTAAACCATTATTCGTTGTCTAGATTTTATTTTGACTTCTCGTCATATTCCTCACAGTTTCAACTCATCTGTTAAACGTATAAGATGCTCATAATTCTTTTTGCAGTTAACTTAGTCTGCACAAGAGTATTGATTCCTCAGTTCAAAGCCAATATTACATGTTTTGGTACGTATGCATGGTTTGCATAGCCAGTGTAACAATCCAGTGACTCAATTCCCTGTATAATTGTGTATGTTGCACTTTAAATCACACTCTGTGGCAGTCGGGGACACTATCCTATTACTCAAACCAGAGTAGGTGGAGAGGAATTCGAATCAGTGACCTATTTGTTAAAATCCGAGTCTTTTGATTGGGATATTGACATCATTGTTATAAATTGGCAATGAATTTACCATTCTACGGTCTTTTGAAATATCTGATAAACTTGAAGGGTGCATTAAATCTGTCTCGGGATTCACTATCGTTATACATGTTTTGATTTTTATGTTGCACATATCAACAAGCTATCACTATTTTTCATCAATTAAAACTTCAGATCCATCCAAATGTCGTCAGTTCTGGAAATCCCTCCGTAGGTTTACCAATAAGGCAGTTGAATACAATCATCCGAACTGGGTCAGATCAGACAACAGCAAGCATGGCGCTTCCTGGTACGCTTTCAGGTTTGCGACTACCTGCAGCACGGGCTTCTGTCTCAGTCCCCACTCAAATGCGATCTCGTGAGCCAGTACAAGCTACTCCGTGTTTGGCCTCAGTTATACTTCCAACTCAGTCGCAAACACAAAAGCAACCTCAAACAACCAGCGTTCTTCCCGCTGTGCTTACTTCCAATCCAAGTGGAGCTCAATCAAGACCTACTGCAACTACTAACGTTCAACAAGTTACAACACCCCAGCTCGCCACACTGCCTTCAGGTCTTACAGGTTAGTAGATTTGTGTACTCATCTTAAGTTTTCTAAAGTTATATATTTAATATTTTACATATGATAATCAAAATAAATTCGATTGATATTCTTCATGTATCATTTACAGGACATCTTGTACAAATCGGCCAACAGACTTATCTCGTCCCTCAGCCGTTAACAGCAGTCCGTCAACCTGGTGTTCATCTGGCTGTTCCTCAGTATATAGGTAACCCAAGTGTGGCAACCAACAATTCCATGGCTTCTGATTCCAAACCTTTTACTGTTTCAGACATTGGGCAGTTTAAACAAGTGAGTTTTTCAATATTTTTCAGTTGAGTCCAAAGAATATTAGTTATAGTTTACTAAGCCACCTTTTTTGTTTAGCTGATACATTTTAATACGTTACATTTATTATTATTGTTATTATTATTACTATTATTATTATTTGAACACATAAATATTGGTACGAGAGTGCGCCAAATATATATGCGCCACACAAAACATTGAGAATTTAAAGAGAAGGAAAAAGAAAAAAGGTAAGGAGCGTGGAAAAAGAGAACAATAACGAAGAGATTGGTGTAAGGTAGTGTAATAATAATAATGGTAATAATGAGGGAACGGAAAGGTACAATCAGAAGAAATCTTTCAGTTAAGGAAGATACAACCACTTTTCACGAAGAAAGTAAAAGAAGGTTACAGCAGGATCGCCACTGGCTTCCATTCTGAGCCATATCTGATAACGTCTCTAGCCACTGTGTAGCACCATCTCTCGGACCCCAGCCATGGAGTCGTGAAGGTCCAACAGAAGCCAGCCCTTTGCAGCTTTCTTTCATACCACGACACCATGTCATACACTGACCACCTCCCACCGTCGTCAAATAATGCACGTGGATTTCTCTGAGACGACATTCGTAGAACATGTCCAGGCCACCGAAGTCGATGTTTTAAGATGGTGACACCGATTGCATTATCATCTCTGTGCCCGAACACACGATGCTGGACCTCTGCATTACTAATATGGTGTTGCCACTGGATGTCAGCAATCCTTCGGAGACAACGATGATCAAACACAGAGAGTCGTCTAACGTCCTCAACTCGGAGAGGTCTATATTTATGGAAACGTTACCTCTAGTTATTACTTAGAATTAATTCGTTCTATAATTAAGCGAAAAACATCTTGTTATTTTATGGTTTTAGATATTTTTGAAATAGCAGTGGTTTTTATGGAAGTAATGTTCCTAAAACTTTTTGAATGCATCATTTAGCGGTTAGTAAACCCTAGAGACGTGTTTTTGTTTTTACTCGTGTAATGACATTTAACACATAAAGTTATGTTTCTAGTAAATTCCTATCAAATTAAGCATTTCTCTCTTTAAAATATTTTTCAAGGTTTCGTTTCTAGTTGTAACTTTCTTTTGTGTAGACTGTTATTTACTGGGATATGTACAAATAGTAGAGATTTTCACTTGTCTGGGATTAATTTCTTGAGCTCAGTGGAGTTGAAACCAACTTCTAGGGACCCATTTTGACCACCGATAAAGAGTAAATATAATGTGCCATTTCCTTTTATTGTTTCATGCTTTAATAATGGTTATATCTTCACTCCTTTGTTTGCATAAGCCGTATTTTCCTAAGCAAATTTATCTGGTGTTCATTGATAACAATTCGTAAAACGTGATGTCGCAGCGAGATGAAATCCCATGTGTATAGAAATAATTTGTATACTATACTTGTTTGGTACCGTTTGGGCAGTGAATAAAGCTTCGATAATGTATTGTTTAATGGATAACACAGGGTTTCTATATTTTGCAATACAACCCATTGCAGCCTTATTTCATCAGTGCTACAGATTACTCAACTCACTTCTCTTTTAAAGATAGGACATTTGTAGTGAGATATGATAGTTATTAGGATTCATAACTTTGGTTTCGATTATTTACGGTCTGTTATATATATAATTCTTACCCATAAATTACTTTTAACTGTTACAGACACAGGTCGATGGTGTCCATGATAGCGATGATGAAAAGTTCTGTGATACTCCTGTATCACAATCGATGAGTGTACCTGGGCGTCGAAAGAATCAAAATAGTGGACAGCATAATTATAATGATAGTGTTGCATCCCATGCCCATCATGGTTCAGATCTAGAAGATGATGATGACGATGATGATGACTTAGTCCCTGCTACTCCTGGTTTCACCCCACACTCGTCTGTTTTATCTCACTACAACACTAGTCGTTATGTGATGGATACTCCAAGAGATATGGGTGGGGGCACACCTCTTGTAAGTGCCCCACCCACTCCTATGACCCCACCTTCCGTATCAGTCCCAGAAAGTCACTTACGCCCTGGACAACAGTCCTTAGCTACTCATTCACTTCACACTGCACAAACACCTGCTTCCAAACGTCGAAGACTTTCACCATACCACGGGAAGAATACAGATACAGATGAGTCTGAGGGTTGTGATGATGGCGAAGATGCAGACATAGTAACTACTACCACTACACCGGCCAACCCAAAGTAAGTCAATTCATGCCTAATTATTGACATGAAATAAACTGTATACCATTACCTGAGTGTGTACTATGTAGCAAGATACTAGTAGTCGTATTTCAAGATACACTAGATTTTTAAAACTTAGTTATCCATAACATTTTAGGCCCGAAATATCCACCCTATTCGATCTAGAAGGTCAGGTAGAGATATTGTATCTTAGCTTTCACACCTGTATGTTAAACAGCCTGTTGCACGGACGTGAAGCCCCTTGAATCAAATAAAACTTGTTTCAGATTTTTATTGTATTTTACCCGTAGTATTTTACGTCTGGTGTATTATTTTCGGAGGTCGAACTGGAGTTTTCTACCATAACCTGCAAGTACGACAGTTTGGTCGAATATATTCCACACTAATTAACCTCAGGTTGATTTCGAACGCATTTCACCAACTGATGATTCTAAAACGCAGTGGTAATATCCTAGTTGCTATAGTATAATTATTTATTTGGTTCCATTGCGTTCACCTTCAGTGAAACATTTATTTGACCGTCCAGTGTTTTAATTGTTTCTTTGTGTTTCAGACACTTTAAGTGATCTGGATTTAAAATGTTCATTTTCGTGACGCTACTCATATTTTGCAGCTTTTACTTTATGTTGTATGGTAGTTGGGGTTTCTCCTGATTATTGGTATGAGTTTCAACGACCCTTTTGTTTAAAATATCACTAAACTCTAGTTATTTTGTATTGATTATTAACAGTGAACTATCCATAGAAAACTACGAAAATACTGTTGATCCTAAGCGAAAATTGGACCAAGTGAAGCAAAAACTTAAACAGCGTCCACAACAAGATAGGAATCCAGTCAGTCCTAAGAACAATCGTATAACAAAACAGTTTTCATCCCCAACTGAATCAGAGCTCGGTGTTCCAGACCAGATGGAATTCCTTGAAGGAGATCCTCTAAAAGCAGAAGAGGAAGGAGAAGAAGATGAGGAAGAAGAACCTCTGAATTCAGAGGATGATGTGAGTGATGAAGAACCTGAAGTGCTGTTCGAATCGGATAATGTTGTTGTTTGTCAGTATGATAAGGTGAGTTCCGATAGGAATTTAGAACAACTGATAAGTTTTCTGTTTTTTCACGTAGGTGGCGAATTGGGCCAATAAGAAAATACTCATATCCACTCATTAGCTTCACTAAATGCTAGGAATACTTCTACGGTATATGTGATTAACTACGTGCCACCATATGTTCTCTACTTCTGCAGGCCATATTTAACACCCGTAAACTAATACAAATGAACTTTATGCAATGTATGCATCCTGTTGATAGGCGGACAAAAACCTAATTTATGTCGGATATGTAAGTTTGTGAAAGGCCGACGATATTCTTGTACACTCGTCGACATTTCATTAGACCTAAGACCTGGTGAAACTTCTAAGGTAGTTATAATGGTTGGTCCTTCCAATAACTTAACTTGATATTTTCAAGTTAGATATCTGCCCATATCAGTCTTAAAATCAGGAGGGAAACACCTCACTTAAGATCTCCGCCTACTTTGGTTTGAGCAATCTGGAAATAATATCGGTCCCCAGACGAGCTATGGCTACAGTCTGTAATTGGCTGTTGAGTTACACTTAGTGTTTACTTATATGCGTCTGTGGGATCCTCACCGTTTTTTGGACATAACGATAATTCTTATTGGTGTTTCAAATTTTTCAGTTACCATTAAAATACCGGGAACTTACGTTTGCTTAAGAACTACTCTTCTGAAATGAGTAAATTATACTATGGATTCAAACTTCTTTGTCGGAGGTAGAGATTCATGAACTAAATATACTGAGATTAGGTATGTGAATTAAGGCTTTGTGAACTTATTACCAAATATTTGGGTAAACCTAGCTGAACTGTGATTACTATAACTGTAAATTATTCAGGCAGAGTAACTTCAAAATAAATCACTCGGATCTGTCAATCACTTCCATAGTGATTTTATCATGTAAGAAATCGTAAAAATTCAAATTCTTGCTAATTTCGGTGATACTAGTGAGAAAATTTCTCTTTGTAAAGGGAAATTTCTCGGCCACTATATTACAATATCCTGTAATATATAGACCAGCTGTAACAAGTATATGATAACAATGTTGCCATTGTTTCAAATTATAACCACAATTCCCTTTAATTTGAATAACCGCGTAGTATCACTAGTCGTTAAGCTGAAATGGTATCTCAAGGCTGGAGTAAATAAACTTACAATTGTTGATTACGTCTAAGTGTAATAATTTTTAGATGAAAGTTGTAAATAGTAACGAATTCCATATAGAAGTGGAGAAGAAACTGAATAATAAGGTTCCTTGTAAAATTACAGTCGCAAAGCTACTTACGTTCAATGTTGTTATTAGATGTGGTGTTTCTCATAACTGCAAGGTTGTCCATCCACAATTGTCTGTAGTTAGACATTATCTAATGCGGATACAATCTTTCATATATTCTACACCTGATCGCGGAGTGCTTACTTCTGGTTTACTAGAACCTGTAAACCAAAATATTTTGAAATCACTTTTGCTGTATTTTAATGTGGAGCTACCTTGTAATGTCATTCATCTCTTGAAAAACACTTTTTTCCGCCTTCTCAACAGATTCATCGAGCTCGAAATAAATGGCGTTTTCATCTGAAGGACGGGATAATGTCCATAAATGGTCGGGATCATATTTTCCAAAAGGCTGTCGGTGAGGCTGAATGGTAGTTTAAATGGAATGTATTTAGTTATTAGTTTCTTCATATCAAAGGATATCGTCGAAAGATGAATTCGGCTACTGTTCCCTCTATTTTCCGATACCATCATGTTTAGTCACTTCTATTAATTGATGCAAATGTAAAACTTTGTGAATGACTATAGTCGCAATTGTTGTATGCCTCTTTTAACCAACTTTGCGTTCTGTAAAGAAGAAGATAACCATAACCAATTTCACTTCCTTGCAGTCATAGTAAGATACTTTTATAGTCGTTTGTAAAATAGAGAATAAATTGAAAACACTAAAAAAAACTAAACCACCACATAAAATTGATCAATTGCACGATATAGATAAATTGTAGGATTTGACACCAGTATTCCTCAGTTATTCGATCTTAATTATGGTTTAAAAGTTCTTACTTTTATTCTTTCTTCACTCATCCTATGTGTTCACGTTTCATACTATAGAAAAGCCTATATTTATTGTGCATATATTGTTCATTACTTTATCACATCCAGTTTTATTGTGATTATCTTTTTGTTTGTGTATTTTTTAAAGAAAAAAAAAACATTTTATTACTGTCTTCCTAACTAAATCGTTGATAATAATAGCAGTGATTATGGTCTTTAGTTATATATATGTATACATATTACTGTATCTAACACACTTGTGACAACACAGTTACACCCACTGGAAAAGTTTTATTCATCGTATCTGTTTTCACTAACATTTAGTCAGTAAATTTGTACTAGTTATTAATAACTTGACAATCAGTGAATATGAAATAATTGTTAGATGAAATGTCGTTAGCAGTAATGAATGATATATTGTGTAGGGACTTGATCAATTTTCTTTAATAATGATTTAAAGCGCTACATACCATATATACTGAAGGTCATATTTACAAAACAAATATTTTCTCATTCAATTGATTACGCATGCTCCATTATTTCATTACAATATGGTTCTAAAATAAATAAATAGGTCAAACATTTTGTGGAACAAGTGATGAGTCTTATGTAATTAAACTGACATTGTCCAAGTAATTGTTTCGTCATAGTTAATGATAGCAATCTGATCTGTTTTTTAATCCATTAGATAACTGTCATTCCACATTTCTGGTCTGTTTTTTGTTGCTATCAATCCATAGTATGAGCCTGTTAGGAAGGTATCAAGCATTAGACTATGTATTGATTCAATTACATCCGTTCAAGTCAATGTAGTGAAATCCGTTTTTATTTCCACTATTTCACCTATATATTGTTTTAGCCAGCTAATAATCAATACAAGTAAATCTGTATATAGATAAGCATGTTTGTTATAGTTGGACCAATCAAGTTTTAAAAAGTACTAAGTCAGGCATTTTTTATTTTATAAGACCTTAGGTTGGAAATTTACCGGTAGCTAACTTTTGGTGCTCCACTTTGATATACGTGTTTACCTTCACGCTAGCTGCTAACTGGAACTCCAAGTCGTGGCTAAAGGAGTTGATTTTCGAAAATCAAAATTCGAGTTCTAATTTCTCTTCACCCACTTCAATTCGGCTAGCCCAATCACTTGTCCATACTAACAGTTTGGCGCAAACTCGAGCTCATAAATTTGCACTTGCTTACTGAACCCACTAATAAAAACCAGTAATCATGATAACATAAGAACTAAAAACCCTGAACTTTTCTTCTACAAATCGACTGACTGTAGCAAAATACGACTGCACAAACTATGTGTATGATCATGCGGTTGCAAAGAATAACCGCTCTAAACAAATCACAGTGAAGAAATGGGCTAGAATCAATGATTTCCATAGGGAAAAGGCAATATATACGAGAAAAAAGCCTTCAATGTGGTTTTTGACCAGAAGACATCTTAAAATAACGTCCAATGAAAGCAAGTTTTCATAATTTGCAACCACAAAAATTAAAAATAACGATGATCCAGATATTGTCGAGTCAGGTACAAAGTAATCTTTATCACTTATCAGGAAGACCGTTCAGCACTGTCACCATACTACAAGAAAAATAAGACAGAACCAATTTTATAATGGTCAGTTAAAACGTTACTGATCTATAGACAATCATCTTCAAATGTCTATTATTAGATTACTAATGTGTAGCGGTAGATAATTCCCTCAAATAGGTGGCTTCGTAAACAACAGACATTGTTGCTGATCATGTTAGTGACCATGGATACTAGTAGATGAAAGGGCTCAGTTAAGTTTCACTTTGAGGTTATGACATAATCTGATGTGAGATGCCTTTCCTTTAGATAACCAATTTAGAAGTCTCACGTTCGTCTCCTGCTTGCAATCAACCATACTTCCCCACTTAGTCATCATCGTCTTCTATTCTGTTTGCCTTCAGGGGAATGGTCAAAACACATGATAGATTATTTGCATAGCTATCACTCAAATAACATTCGGTAATATCACTGCTAAGAAATTTTCGATCTACAAAAGTTGTTAGCACTGGGATCACCGTCTTTGTTTTGGTCTCGCAAAGCGTCACCTCCGATAAATCTAGAAACGCCTTGATAAGTCGAAAGCCATACTCCATTGTTTTCACTTATTCATAACCTAATATTCGTCTCTTAATTATTTACACCTGTTACCTCTCTTCGAGCATAGGCCACCGACGATGTAAC